ATTTCATTTTACTATTCTGTTCTATATGAATTTCAAGCTTACCAAATCCTAGTTAAGAATGCCCGCCTCTTTCAGGTGGTTAGGACGAATTGACTAAAAATATAATATACTCAAAAAGTATAATAATGCAATAGCCAATTAAGACTGGGTAAAGTTCAAAGGAACACTTACTTTGCAAAAAAGTTTGGGACTAGGCTTTGGAGAACCTAAATGATAGCCTCAGTGAAGAACAGAGAATTCTCAACTGAGAAGCCCTAACTTCAAATTTTTTGAGTTAAGCAGTAGGTAGTTTGCATAAAAACCCGTTATTTACTTCATGCAACTTTGTTTATTTAATTCTTTAACTAATCAAAATGATTTTTCAATCCTTAAACCTCAACAAACGGTTAATATTTATCTGTGTGGATCAACTATTTGTGATCATATTCACATTGTTCTCTATAAATAAATATTTTTTCTTATTATTACGCTTGTTACTGAAATGAGGTTATAAAGTTAAACACTATAAAATTTAAAGTTTGAGAAATACAAACTTTGTACAGTACAGTATCTACAAAACATTACTAGTTACTATGTATAATTAAATTGCAATAAAGTTATTACAAAAATTAAAGTATACTTATATGCATTTTAGAAAGTTATAGTAAGTTAAATCTTTGTTATTTATTACAATTTGTAATTACATACATAATTTAGTATATATATATAATATAAAATCATAACATAAATAAACTATCTAAACAATATTGAAAAATTTACTAAATAAAATAAAACTGATATATCTTTATATAAATGCTAAAAAAAAAAAAAGATTGCTAATAAGAAATAATAAAAAATAAAGAAAGTCTATATTTAATCTCTATAAGTGAAGAAGTCAGTTATCGCAACCTGCTTTTTGGCTTGAAATTCAAGCCTTTTAACTATTTTAAGATAGTTTTTAAAAAATTTTATATCCTCTTTTTTGAATTCATCAGATTGTTGTTGCTCAAAAAAGGTTATCCACATATGCAATGATTTGCTTGCATCACTTAATGATACAAATTCGGGTTCCTCTTCAGAATCATCAGAATGATTTGGACTGTCATTTTCATTACACATTTCAGCTTGAATTAGATTTATGATATCATTATCATTTAAAATATCTTCGGTTGGAATATCCTCATTTAGACTATAAAAAAAGTCATTTAGTGCATTTGCTAACGAATTAGCATAAGAATTACTATATAAATTATTAGCGATCATTTGATTAGTATCTTCTTCTTCATAAGATAAAATATCTTGTTGGATTTGAGTTGCATCAGTTATATCATCTTCAGTAACTATAGGTAATATGCCAGTCTTTTTCTAGCAATTAGCTATAGTTTCTTTGGTTACATTGTTCCATGCATCTACTATATAATTGATTGCTTTTTTAATAGTTAGTTTGTTTTTGTTTATGTCCATGCCATCTTCAAAAAGTTCTAAGATAAAACGGCAATAATTTTGTTTATAATAAGCTTTAAAACTCGCAATAACACCTGCATCTAGTAGTTGCAAGTGGCTTGTAGTGTTAGGAGGTAAAAATACAACTTCAACATGAGTAAGTTTAAGTCGAGAAGTAGAGTTAGGCTTTTTACTTTTATGCTTTGCACCTATTGATATTAAAGATTAAATTAAGGTTAATTTTAGAAAGATATATCATTACCAAAAAAATTACAATTC